TTTCTCTCAACACTCAACAGCCCAGTAGAGCCAAAGCAGACACAGGATTTCCCACAGTTGGAAGTGGTCAAGAGGAAATGGCAGAAGATTGAGGAATGTTAAAGGATCTACAAACCTGTCATTATAATGACCGTCCTTTGGCTGGCTCTGAGAGGGAGTATATAGTGGGGGATACGCTACATGGCAAGAAATGTAGTCATTGTTACAGCGCTATTTACAGAAAATAAATGACATTAACAATTAACAGCATTTAAAACAATAACATCAAGTAAATTGTGGTTGACCGTCACAGATATTAAAAATGAGTCCTTTGTATGGAGGTGCTTCTGGGGAGCCATCTATATGGGTACTCTCAGCTTATGAAAAATCCTTCAAGATATCATTAAAACTTGTGATATTCTCTCTCTCTCTCTCTCTCTCTCTCTCTCTCTCTTCCACAAATATATATTTCCTTGGAGTACTTCTGACAATTAGAGAAATGTTTTGAGGAAATGTTAACAGTGTTTTTAAAAATTGGTCAATAAAAGTTAAAATGTTCTGGTGGGTCAACAAGGTGGCTTAGTAAAAAGTGCTTGTCTTGTAAGCCCGATGATCCGAGTTCGATTCCTGGAACCCATGCAAAGGGATGAAGCAACATGATCACAAATCCTCTTTTGACCTCCACATGAACTTGGTGGCATGTGCACCCTCCTTCCATTATGCACACACTCAGTAATAGTAAATGAACATTTAAAAAGCAATCTGGCAAACAAACAAATATTGGAAAGAAGAGGAAAAGAGGGAGGAGGAACAGGAGGAAGAAGAGAGGAGGAGGAGAAGGAGGAAGAGGAGGAGGCGAAGAAGAGAGGAGGAGGAAGAGGAAAAGAGGAAGAAGAGAGAAGGAAGAGGAGGAGGAGGAAGAGGAGGAGGGGAAGAAGAGAGGAGGAGGAAGAGGAAGAGAGGAAGAGGAGAGGATACATACATCCTATTAGATAGCAATAATACATCCATCTCCAGTGTCCTCGATTCTCACTGCTATACTGGTAACTAGCTGTCAAAGATGCTTTGTATGTGTGCCTGTTATATGTCCGTGTTTGTGATACATGTTTGTTCACGGGTGCACACAGAGGCCACAGGTCTGTGTCCGTTTTCTTCCGCAGTCACTCTCTACCTTATTTTTTCAGACGAGAGACTCTTGAACCTGGGACTTAGTTTTGACTAGGCTGGCTAGCCAGTGCGGGGATCTGCCTCTAAGTACTGGGATAACAGGCACTTGCAGGCTACCTGGCTTTTTATGTGGGTCTGGGTGTCCACCCAAGTCTGTGAATATACAGCAAACTCTCCACTGACTGAGCCTCTCATAGATGATTCAGACCATGACAAAAGCCACTCTACTTATCTTAATCCCAGGAGGGGGTTTTAACTGAGGACAGTTTTTAAAATGACCTCAAATCTTTGAAGTAAACCTAGCTTTCAGAAAAACATCTGTTCTACTGTGGGGAGGGCCAGTTCAGAAATCTATGATTATTTTTATACCGCAGCTACATTTACATGACATAATGCAGTGGTCATATGCCACGAGAAACACACTTCTATATTAAATGCTAAGCATGTTGTAACTCAGTTATTAAAGAGCGATGTTCTTAACGGTCACAGGGTGAGCTGGAGAGATGGCCCTGGGCTTAAGAGTACTTCCTGTCAGACTGCCATGCTGGTGCAGGCTGTTAACTCCAGCACTGGTGAGGGAGATTCTACATGCAGAATTCCGGGACAGCCAGGGGTACATACAGAGACCCTGTCTCAAAAGCAAGCAAGCAAGCAAACAATGTGCTGTTCTTGAAAAGAACCCAAATCCCACATAGGGGGAAACACCAGTTTCAGGGGATCTGACAGTCTCTTCTGGCCCCCACAGGCACTATAGACACATGGTATACAGACAAACACACAGGCAAAACAGCTGTATACAGAAAATAAAAATAAATAAATCTCATGCCAACAGCAAATCCGTGGAATCACCCAGGCTTTCTGTCCCTATTTTATCCTATGTAACAGTTTCTACTGCTCTAAGCTGGAACAAAGCACCTCCCTCACTCCCAAACGCCATTAACTATGCTACCGACACTTAAAATTAGCACCTCACCCCTTAGTAGTGTGGTAACTAAACACCAACAAGAACAGTGTTCACTGAAAAAGAAAGGCTTGGGGCTGGAGAAATGCGTTAGCAGTTAAGAGCCTAAGTTCAAATCCCAGCAACCACATGGTGGTTCACCACCATCTTTAATGAGATCCAATTCCTTGTTCTGGTGTGTCTGAAGACAGCAACAGTGTACTCACATACACAAAATAAATAATTCCTTTTTTTTTTTTTTTTTTTTTTTTGGTTTTTCGAGACAGGGTTTCTCTGTGTAGCCCTGGCTGTCCTGGAACTCACTCTGTAGAGCTGGCTGGCCTCGAACTCAGAAATCCTCCTGCCTCTGCCTCCCAAGTGCTGGGATTAAAGGCGTGTGCCACCACAGCCCGGCATAATTCTTATTAAAAAAAAAAAAAAGAAGAAGAACGGCTTTATGGACCCGACCTCTCATTTATTCATTATATTCCATCCCAATGTTTCCATGGAATTTAAAAGTTTAACAACAATCTGATTTTTTTTTTTTAAACTAAGGTACGTGGTTCTAAACCCAAGGATAGTTTCAAATTATCTTCAGGAGACTGCAAGCAAAACAGGGCAGTCATTTCCTCATACCGATTTCAGTGGGCTTGGGACTCAGCTCAGTGGCAGAGTGCTTGCTTAGGGAGCATAAAGCTATGGGTTTGATTCCCAGTATAAGAAAAACAACAAAAACTATTTTAGAGGCCGGGGCAAATAGGCTCAGCGGCTAAGACTGAAGACTATTCTTGAAGAGGATCCAGTTCAATTCCCAGCTCCCATAACAACTTAGAACTCCAGGTCCGGGGAATCTGATATCTTCTTCAGACCTCAGTGGGCGGCCACGCTCATGTGTACACCCCCCGCCCCTCATGGCTGTGACATACACTCCTGCCCCTCACGGCTGTGACATACATATGAGTGTAATGAAAAGAAATACTTTTGAGAAAAATTAAAATAGTTATAAACTTCCTGGTCATCGAGCTGGTAGGAGCACCCACTACCATGCCTGATGACTGGAGTTCAATCCCTGGGACCCTATGGTGAAAGGAGAGGCCAAGTCTCCTAGGTTGTCCTCTGCCCTCGGCTTAGACGTCATGGTGCTCACGCGCGCGCGCGCGCGCACACACACACACACACACACACACACACCACACACTTAACGTAACTGGAAAAACTAAACCTTCAACCTTTCAACCCTGAACACTTTGTAACTAAAAGCAAACGGTGAGTAGATTCTTAATGAGCCAGAAATTATGGTCTGTGAGGGCCAAGCATAGATCTAGTTCCTTAAAGCGTAGGAAGCTGAACTGCAGGTTTCTGCTGGTGTTCCGCAGCTTGCTTACTGCTGGAGATCTGAGATTATCTGGACAGTTAAGGACTACATTAGCAAGAGCCCTTCCAGCTGGAAGAACGTTGTTCACCAGGCAATTCGCTTGCACAGGAGGTGCGAGACGCAAATCCATGGGTGGCCTTGGGATGCCTACAGGTTATGTAATTGAGTCAGAGCATTTGATTAAACCGGTTTCCCCAACAGTGTTTTGCCCTTCCTTTCATAGTATACGTTAGCAAATTAGGAACCAATTCAACTAAGGAGTGCTAGGGTCAATTTTAAGGCACCAGAAACATGATCTCTCCCCCAAATACAGGCTATGACTATTTAAAAATGGGAAAAGAATTCTTTTTAAATTTTATTATTGGTGTATGTGGGGTTATACTTATAACAGCAAACATTTGGAAATCAGAAGACAGTTTGAGAATTGGTTATCTCCCTTATTATTATTTTTGTTTAAGATTTATGGGTACATTTATGTATGTGTGCTGCTTGCATCCTGGGTACCAAAGGAGCGAGAGAGGGTGTGGAGAGCTGTTTTTACAGATGGAATGAATAGCTATGAGCCATCAAACGGATGCTAGGAAGTGAACCCAAGTCCCCTGTAAGAGCATTAAGTGCTCTTAACCGCTGAGCCATCTCTCCGGCTCCCAGTTCATTCCCGCCATATTGGTTTTGGGGATTGAACTCAGGCTGTCAGTCTTTACTAGCTGAGCCATTTCGATGGACAGTCAATTCTAAAAATTAATTTTGCGTGCGTTAACATATCTGTGGGTGAATGATGTGCACTGCATCGGGGGTGTGGGGCTCAGAGGACAACTTGGAGGAGTTGGTTTAATTTCAGGGAAATCCCTGAGATTAAAGTCAGGTTGTTAGTGCCTCCCCGCTAGTCCTTAATTACCAACGAAAAAGCAAACTGTTACAAGAAGCGCAAGTACCTGCGTTCCTTAATACTTCTGTCAAATGGTTAGAATGAAGCCAGAGCTAGCCGCCTTTTTCACTGGGATTTACTTCATTTACCTGGGTTGGGTTAAATGAGGAAGTGCTCTATAGAGAGCCACACCCCCAGCAGACACAGGATCCTAATCTTCACCGAGGGACAACACAAGCTTGTATGATAGAACTAGGAATTCGAACATCTCGCCAATAGTAGTCTCCAGAAAATACCCTGGGGTCTAAAGCACAGGCTAGCCAACAGTAACCTGCACTGGTCAGCTGAAACTTCTGAGTCTCTTGGAACCCCCAGTTATCACCACATGGGATCAAAGAGCCTCAGGCCTGTATTGTTACCATGGTTTCACTTTCCTCCTGCAGGTTTGAGTTGCTAGTGTGATCGCTTTCTAGCACATTCCTATTTCTGATTCTGTAGACAGGGTCCCACTTAACCCCGTGTAGTCTTGGACCTTTGAGCCTCTTGTCTCAGCGTCTCACGTCCAGAGGCGATGGGCGTTTGTCACCATGTCTAGCTCAGGGTCCCATTCTTAACTGGTTAGTGCACTTCAGCGTCTGAACTTTTATTATGAAAGCACCCACAAGCTGAAATGGATATTTAAAATCTTTATTGTTTCGTCATCAAAAGTTTTCCCTCGCTCCACGGTAGGACGACAATCCAGTGTTGGCGCATTCTCATGAAAAAAATCTCTTGGAAGTAGCTAGCCTAGAAACCAGAGATGGGACTGGCAAGCCAGTGTCATAGTCAGACACGCAATGCTGCTGCTAAGATTAGTACCCAGAAAGAATATGCAGCTGTTAGGAAAGGAGTCTACGGCTGAGCGCTCAACACTTCGTGAGGGAGCAGAGAGCAGGGAGGATCAGAGACGGAACCTCCATCCTGCTCCATCCTGATCCCAGGCAGGGTTCTGACCACGTGCGTACCCGCCGACGAGTCTCCATCCCCGTTCTTCAACAAGCCACTTCTGGTCTAACCCACAAACGGCACGGCCGCATCTGGGCATTTCATACTGCTTCCCACCTCACAGCCAAAGGTAATAAAACATGGGTCAGGGCAAACAAAAACAAAATAAAAACTGCAGCTTTAGGCATCTTTAGTAAAAAGCTGAACAAACTTGGTGCATGTTCCCATTTTTTTTTTCTTTTTTTTTCGTTTTTTGAGAAATAAACTGTAGAAAAAAACAACAAAAGACAGTTGTCATGGTTACTCATTTTCGGCTAAAGGCAGAACACTTCTTTTTATATAAGCACACTGGAGAAACATACAAATGTCCTCACAAAATACTGCTGGGTCAGTGTGAACATTTTCATAACCAGCTCCTGGGTGAAGTACTGAGAATTGAACGACCGCTACGATTTGGTCATGCCTGGTCGCCGACAAGTTTTTGGTCAGATCTGTGTTTGAAGCTGTGACGCAGTTGGATTTGGCTACTCTGTATTACTTCGTACAATCAATTCCTTACTTACAACAGCAGATCCATCGCGATGAAACCAAACCCCAGACAACCGAGAGGTTCACAGCAAACCTGCCTGGAGTGCTTTTTAAAATACATACGCTATAAGGCTGGGAGACTACTCTTACCGTGGTCTGAGTCTTACAACCGTTCGTTCCTAGATTACCTGCAAGACTAACTAGTCACTTGTGAATCGCGTCAAGGCCTTGTGGGGGAGGGGCGTGTATGGCGTAGCAGTCGGTTTTCTAGCAGTCAATCATTTCTAAACGTTATTAAACTATATTTGAAAAGTTCTTTTACTTAAATATATACAATGTACAAAATAAGTTAAAAGGAGGAAGCGAGGAAAGGTTTTGAGCATCTACACTGCAAACACACAACTGTCCCATGCATGTCCCTTTCGCCCTCCAAACCATGAGAGGTGACAGAGCTCGGGCCTGTCACTACGGATGGAAACAGCACGCAGACAGTGGCACGCCAATGCCGGCTCTTCCACGCAGCAGCTCGCTTGCTTTGACCATAATAAACACGAATATAAACTGTATCCCCAAACTTGTTTGTATACTTGTACCTTAAAGTTTAACATAAATTCTTCTAACAGTTGAGGAGAAAAGCACTCTTCTATAGCAATTCCACAAAATAATTTTCAATTCACAAAAGACCTGTCCACTAGTAAAACCAGCAACCCTTATGGAGGGCATGGGCAGGATTAGTCGGCCCCCCTGAGGTATAAATGCAGCTATCTTTGCACTGAGTAAATAGTAGGTAAGGTATGCCAATGTTTGCATTCACCGGGAGTGATGTCACCCTGACTGAATGGAAACTTACTTATGTATATTTTTCTTTATAATGGAGATTAACTGACTTTTAGAGAAAAAAAAAATATGTACTTTAGCCCATAATACAGCCAGAAGTTCTGAATTTCTAAACCAATGCAAATGGTTATTACATCTTAAAAATGTGCAACATTGCATACTGATTTTAAAACAACTGAACAGGGAGAACACGTAAGTGTTTTAGATTCAGCAGGACACCGTGGAAAGCATCGTCTAGAGAAGTGGGAAACCAGTCAAGCTTTTCCAAAAGAGAAAATCCTTTTAATCCTCAGCAAGTCCCTGTGGAAACAGTAGGCAAACAACAGTGAGAAGAAGGGAGCACCTAGGACAACCCAGAGGCTCGCCAACGACTCAGCATCACAGCCCCCTCTCCTGTGCGCGGACGGCCAGCAGACGACACAAGTCCATGTGACTACAGTCCAGCGGCTTCTTCACCACTGCTGCCAGCTGAAGTCGTCGTTGCTCCCGAAGACCAGGAAGAAGCCGAGAATAGTCGCGAAGATGACTGTGTTGCCTGTGAGAACAAGTGCGCATGCTCCCCACTCGATCTACGGCAGGAAGAAAGACAGGGTCAGCAGGCGCGCAAAGCGCAGGCACCGAGGAGCAAATCAATGCTCTGTGCATTTAGTCAATCATGGTCGGAAGTAATGTGGCTACGGATGACCTTCACAGGACAACACTCCACACCCTTAATGTGTTTTGATTTGCCATTGATTGATCGCAAAGTAGAGAGTTAGGAAGTGACAACTATTCAGCTTCGAGAATGACCACGGCAGCTTCCTTTGGCTCCGTCTGCAGTCCTGACGGTCCTGTGCATCCGGGATGCACCCTGCCCCGGGATCCCTAGCACCACATGGGATTCTATAATTACTGCTTACAAAGGAAGTAACTTAGTGCATCTAAAATCTTGTTTGGAGCAAAAGTTAATTACCAGTGAGGGAAACATACTTGTGCTTTCTCTGATAGGGGCAGAGGGAACAAGCGTCTGTACCACACTTGAAGTGTGGCTAGTCTCTGCCCTTTCTTTCACACTTTCTCAGTCTCAGTGGACAAACGTCTCATACATCTATGCTTCAGGTCAGGGGTTCTCAACCAGGTGGCATATCAGATATCCTGTAGATCAGATGTTTACATTATGATTCATAAGTAAAATTACAGTCATGAAGTAGCAACAAAAATATCTTTATGGTTGGGGTCAGCACAACATGAGGAACTGTATAACAACACGTTTAAGAAAAGAATGAACAGCCTGGCATAAAAGTATTCAGAGTATGGTGACTCACCAGATGTGCTCTGGCAAATACCACAGGGAGTCCAAAAGCCGAGACCACGATGCCTGTGGTGAGGAATATGGCGAGCTCCTTACAAGCGTTGCTCATGGCGTCCGTGTCGTCCACTAACCTTCTGGCTATGCAGTACGGGATGGGCGAGAGGATGTAAAAGAAGAGAACGAAGAGGGGCCAGTATTGGCTGGAAAAGAGAGAGGCGTCAGCGGCGGTGTGGTCAGCAGTGTTGTCTCCCAACACCCTAACCGTGCTCCTGTTGTAGACCAGAGGACAAGACAGCAAACAAGCTGTGACTGAAAACAAAGCCGCAAGCGAGCTCGAGTGAGAGAAGTGAGTCAGCTCACCTTGTGCTCAATTATGGCACAACAGTAAAAATGCCTACTGACAAAATGCTTTATAAATTAAGCCCCCTCCATTCGTTTTATAAGAAGGCACACTGAAAATAAGAATATTTACACAAAAACCTTTACATTCTGCCTTCTTGTAATGTTAAAGTACCCATGATTCCTGTCATTGAAATCTAAGTATAGGAGGTCACTGAAGACAGCATTGAAAACCACAGTTTTTAGTCTGTCGTTAACTGTGCTGTGTCAACGTCACTTTCTGTCGGAGGAAGCTGTGAGAAGGGGACAGGGAACCTCCGTCCACCTCTTTGTCACATTTTAACAGTCTATTAAAAACTTACAAGAAACTTACAAGAAAGGTCTTTAAGGTTGACAAGTGTAATGACGTACACAGCGGAGACTTTCTAGAGCTATGTGTTAGGTTTTTTTTTTTTTTAAAGACTTTTTTCCTTTCTGTTTTCATTTATCAAGACCCGGGGTCTCGGGATTTGAACTCAGGTCCTCATGTCTCTATTGCAAGTGCTCTGTCCACTACACCATCTCTTGCCCTATAATTTAGCTTTGGATGGGCATTTATGATGTCATCAGTTTTCCATCTTTGCTTTAATATATAAAATATTATATATTTTGCCATTATTTCCATTTTGCTCCTCACTCAGCGACTGTGAACAGCAATATTCTTACCCAACTACGTGTATCACTGCAAGCATTTGCAAGTAGATTTGTATGAGGATTTCTAAGAAGGGGAGGGCCAGTTTGAGGAACTACAGGATACAGACAAACTAGTTCCAAGAAATGGCAACTCCTCCCCTCCCAAACCTCTGTCTGACTTAGTCCCCGTCTACTTCCTTTATCTTCAACTGTAGATTTCAGATAGTGTTGAGTGAGATTCAGTGTGTTTTCACATGCTTATTAGCAGCACAATTCTCTCTGCAATTTTTGGCCCACTTCTATTCATTTGTCTTTTGAAAACTAAGTTCCTTAAATATTAACTTAAAAAGTTTTCTAAGCCGGGCAGTGGTGGCGCACGCCTTTAATCCCAGCACTTGGGAGGCAGAGGCAGGCGGATTTCTGAGTTTGAGAGTTTAAGGCTAGCCTGGTCTACAGAGTGAGTTCCAGGACAACCAGGGCTACACAGAGAAACCCTGTCTCGAAAAACCAAACCAAAAAAAAAGTTTTCTATACTGAGCACAGTAATGAATACCTGGAATTCTAGAACTTGAGATGCTGGAGCAAGCTAACTGTATGTGAGGCTAGCCTGGGCTATCCAGTGAGACAATGTCTCAATAGAAAGTTCTCCCCTTTCTAGGGGAAGCAACTACCCATAGCTGTGTCCAGAAGCTGCTTATGTTATCTCTGTAAAGGATGTTTTAGGTTTTGTTGGTGGATTATTAACGGGCAGCAGGGCTGAGTTTCTGTCACCAGGTCATTACAGAAGCAGATCACAGGCAAAAATCTCTCTGCCTTGGCATTCTAGTGTCTTTACAAATAAACTTTAAGTGATGATCTTCAGAAAAGGATTATATCAGTCAATGAACATTTCTTCACATTTCTTTTTTTTTCCTTCCCTTCCCTTCTCTCTCTCACTCTGGCCCAAAGATTTTTATTTATTTATTATATGTAAGTACACTGTAGATCTCTTCAGATACCCCCATAAGAGGGCATTAGATCTCATTACAGATAGTTGTGAGCCACCATGTGGTTGCTGGGATTTGAACTCATGACCTCAGTGCTCTTAACCACTGAGCCACCTCACCAGCCCTTCTCTGCACTTCTTGTATGGTAGAAAACAAAGCATGTTAAAAACTTTAGTAGAAAAATTTTACCTTTAAACATTCAAAAAGAAAACAAAATGACGTACTTGTATATTGGAAGGGCACATCCGAGCATCAAGAACATCAGCCCGATAGCTCCTCCGAATGACAAACTAATTAAAGCTGCAAAACAAACAAAAGCCCCAGAGATCAGTTAGGCCACCATAGTGTGTCATCTCTGTTCACATGCACACACCAGCCTGAGCAGGACCTGGAATCCCAGAAGTGAGAAACTCCATCTCCCCTCAAAATCCAGTTGTTAAAAGTGAATCATCCCGCACTGGGAGTACCAGCTCATGCCTGTTAATCTCAACACTCAAGAGACTGAGGCAGGAGGATGAATACAAACTAAAGATCAGTTTGAGCTACAGGGTAAGACCCAATCTCAAAAGGCAAAACAAAATGTGAACTGACTTCAAAACTGCCAATTACACACGTTCAGAATAAGTTCCTACAGCATCCCAAAACAGAACTACATGTTAGAGGTTGAACACTCTCTTTAATCCCCAGAAAGGCTCTGAAATCTGGGATGTCAGCCAGGTCTGATGACATGTGCCTTTAATCCCACCTCTAGGGAAGCAGGGGCAGGAGGTACTCTCTGGTCTACATAGTGAGTTCCAGGCTAGCCAGGGCTACATAGTGAAACCTTGTCTGAAACGTGTGTGTTGCACCCCAAATATTTATTCTGTACATTCAAATATTCCTAAATCCTAGGGCATCCACAAGCTGATTCCATTTGGTTCCGATCGCTCCCAATAGGGAACACTTAACCTGTACATCAGTTCTGACCTACTGCTAACAGACACCACACACACCAGTTATTGGTTCTATTTCTCAGAACTATTAAGGTACACAGAGTTAATGTCCCCCACCCCAACACTGTATTTAGTCTATGCATGAGTAAAGCTGATGACCTAAGGCCAGTTCAATTCCTGGAATCCATATAGAAGTGACAGGGGAAGAGCCCTGGCACACGCCTTTAATCCCAGCACTTGGGAGGCGGATTTCTGAGTTCGAGGTCAGCCTGGTCTACAGAGTGAGTTCCAGGACAGCCAGGGCTATACAGAGAAACCCTGTCTCGAAAAACAAAAAACAAAAAAACAGACAAAAACCACCACCACTCCCCCAAAAAAACCCCAAAACCAACCAAACAACAACAACAAAGAAGTGACAGGAGAAAATCATTCTAAATTGTCTTCAGACCTTCACGCCCAACACACAGTAACATTCATTATTCCCATGGGGGGTGGGGGGAAGGGAAAGGGAGAAGGGGCAGAGAAGCACAAACACACAAAACTAAGAGAAACGCTGCCTGTGAGTATGTGCAGTTTATTTATGATATTTTTTAATATAATTATTTTTAGACATAGTCTTACTGTGTAGCCCTGGCTAGCCTGGACTTTGCTATATAGACCAGGTTGGCCTCAAACTCATAGATATCCAACCTGCTTCTGTCTCTCAAGTGTTAGGATGAAAGGTATATGCCGTCATGCCTGCCTTATTATTTTTTAAGGAAATGAAAGAGATTTACTGTAGACTTCACAGTAGCGACCTGCCTATAGTTACGGTTAGTCTTTCGACAGTTCACAGAAGCACACTGGCTTTGTTCCCGATTTCCTAAATTCTAGGAGAGCTGGAGGGTTATAATGCAGCCTGTTGTGGACCTGGTACCACTGTCTTAGCACAGCACAGAAGGAAGATGCCTCCTACCGTAAGATTCACCTCGGAATGTGGCTGGTGTAGGTCAAGGTGAGAAACAACTTTATTATGTATATAATCAGTGACCTAGAGATCAACCAAAAGAAACGTGATCAATTTGACTTCCACACGGCCTGCATTTCTGCCTCCTCCATGGCCGAGAAAATGACTTGTTGGTAAGATTTGTTACATTTGTTGTTTAGATTTATTTATTTTGGGTGTGTGCACGTGCAGGGCAGAGCATCATGACTTGCAGGAGTTGTTCTCTTCCCTCATGCGGGCTCTGGGGGCTGGGCTTGGGTCAGCAGGCTTAGTTAGCCGTAAGTACTCTTCCTTACTCACTGCTATGGTCTAACCTTAACAGAAAAGTTAAAATCCAAAGGTATGTGAAGATCTAGAATTAACCAGGTTAAAAAAAAAAAATACAGCACACAAACCAAAATCCGTGGCGCAGGAGAGGTCAGACATAGCCTACTACTACTGACAAGATGGCCTCAGACACTGTCTTGGCAGGCTGGGTGTCAGCTGGGGTGCTGAATACAAGGGTCAGGCCACCATGAACACATGGTGGTTCTTAGGGTCATTATAGTTTATATTTCCAGGTACAGTGGGGGGAAAGTCAAGGGAATGTTTATTTTGTTTTAAACAGCAAACAGAACACTTGAGGCTTACAGGAATGCAGTAACTAAGGAGAACGGGGAGCTTCCCTCCTGTCCCTCGCGGTCCTGTCTACAGGCCTTCACTCCACCACACAGGCAATAGTTGTAGCATCTTACACTGCCCTCTTTCTTCACCTACGGAGTTTCTGTGCACATTTATCTCCTACTGAAATTTTTCATTCATTTGGAAAATACTGATTGAAGCCAAACACACAGCAGAGACTGGGGACCCAGCAAGCATCTCACTGGCTCACTCAAGCTCCAATGTTGCTGCCCGTTCTGTCTCTCTTCCAGCCAGGACTCTTTCTCTTCAGATGTCAACTCAAGCATCTGCTCCTCAGGGCCACATCAACTCTGCCACTGTAGTTGGTTACGGAGGGCTAGGGGCCAGCTCAGGGGAACAGTGCTTGCCCCGTGTGCTTGAGGCTCTGGATTCAACCCCCACTTGTCTTTACTTATTCATACAACAAATACACTGAGCACTGACTGTGTGCCACATGGTTCCTGCTACTGAAGACAGAGCGACGAGGAGGAAAGAAAACCAAAGCTTTTAACTTTATGGTGCTCACGTTCTAGTGGGAAGATAAAACAGTTCTTTAAAGTTATCGAATTTTATTTACTATATGCTGTCTGTGCGAACAAGCTGACGAGTCATCTTACTAGCCCATAAAATAAAAATCAAGGACGGGGGTGGGGTGGGTGTGGTGGTGCACTCTGGGAATTCTAGCAGTTGGGAGGAGGAAGCAGGGAGGATCAGGAGTTTAAGGCTAGCTCTGGCTATATACTGAGCTAGAGTTTAAGGCCAGCCTGGGCTACTTGAGACCCTGTCTCAAAAACAAGCAAACAAACCAGCATGTAAACAACAAGGCTGCATCAACTGTGAGGCTGCTGCGGGTCCTCTTGAGGCCCTTCAGCCTGCTCACTGAGAACTTTCACTTTCCTAACTGCCTTCTGTTCGTTTTCTTAACTTTATTAACTGCCTTTTGTTCCCAGAACAGGATTTATGCCCATGGACCTTATTTATGGTCTCCTGCAAAAGTAGAAACCCTTTAAGAATGAATTTCCTATCCTTGGGATTTTGTGTAGGGCCAGGCATACACTAGGTGCTCAATAAACACGTAACAAAGGAATTACTGAGAAAGTAAGAAGGAACATTCTGTTTGTTCAGTAAACATGAATTCTGATGGATGTTAAAGATTTAAAGGACAAGTGTCCAGTGATGACCACAAGCAGGTAGGGTAAAGGATGCAGGTTCTTGACAGGGTGTCTCTGATGAGTCAACAACTGGGTGAATAGTCGAGGAATGCAGGAAGAGGCACAGGTGTGTGCCAGGCCTTCAACTGCATGCAGCTCCTTGCTGTCACCAGAGCTGCAATGCTAAACTGGTTCTGAAACCTCTTTCCTTTCCAAAAGTTCCTGGTCAGCTTCTGACACCCATGCCCCAGCTTAAACACTTGGTAACAAAGAATGAATATAGCCTGGGGATGGGGTGGCAACAG